GAGAATGGGGGGAAAGGACGTCGTCCGGTGGTCGTTGGCTGATCGGGAGCATCGTGGTGGCGACTCCAGTGAGGGGGCATAAGGGGGATGATGGCTGCTACATAAGGGAGGGTTTTGGGTTAGGGTTTGACTGATAATGAGGCTATATACCCGACTCCACTTTGGAGTTTTCCATAATGGCATTAACAGTCCCTCCATGCCCCTTTTCTTACAAATGCAATCCAATATTTACCCTTTCTACCCTGACTTTAGAAATCTACTTCAAATTAAATCTGATAATTACATGTAGCACCTGGTTCCTGGTAACTAAAATTTATCTAAGTATTAGTCATTTTTAGCCTTGGACTCGGCGAGTTGTGGGTCCGACTCTCCGAGTAGGGACGCGGTCCGGGGGCACGTTTAAGTTGGCGACTCGGCGAGTCCCCGCTATTTGATGAAACCCTAAATTTCAAGGGTTTTCACCCTATTTAAACCCTCTTATCCGCCCCTAAGCACGCCCCCTTCACCCTCAGAGCTCCCAACATCGTTTATACCCTTATTCCTTGTGAGATTGAAGTGTTTTGGTGTGTTCTTGAAGATTTTGAGTAGAAAGAAGAGTAGATCAAGAAGAGGAGAAGGAGGCCAGGTATCTTTGTGTCATCTCAACGTTTTCCTTGAGGTATAGCTTGTTTCCCCTCTGTTTTCAAGCTTGTAGTCTCTATTAGCTTCATGAAAGTGCTTCTTGAGCCATTCCCCAAGCTTGTTTGTGCATTGTGGGTTGTAATAAGTTGTTAGCCTCTAGATCTAGGCATGATTTAGTCCCTGGAGCTTGGAGCTACTGCCTTTATGGAGTCATATTGCATGAAAGCCCTAGATATACCCCTTTTGGTGCACTTTGAGCCCTAAAACCTTCATTGGTGAATATCTACACGTAAAGTTGGAAACTTTACATGTAATCCATGCCCTAGAAACCCAGATCTGTGAATGGCATGAGCTGGATTCAAGAAAAATCGAGTGTATAGTAATTGCATGTGGCCGACTCGGCGAGTCATCCCTCGGACTCGGCGAGTCGAGTCGCGAGTCGCCGAGTTTCTTCTTTTTTCACATTGGCGGGTTGGGAGTAATGAGTCATTGGGTGTGACTCAGTGGGTCGAAAGCTAGACTCACTCATGAAGCCACTCGGTGAGTCAATGCCATGACTCGGCGAGTTGTTCATACAACTCGGCGAGTCACAGCTTAGAGTGTTCTTCTGATGAAGGTGAACTCGATGAGTTGTTCATACAACTCAGCGAGTAGGATGAAGGACTATTGACCTTGGGTATAGAGAAAGGGACTCGGTGAGTCTGGTCAACTGGCAGTTGAATATGACTTGACTCATGACTTGTTAAGGGTAAATGGACAATGTACCCTGAAGGCGGTTAGCAGTATTTGACTAAGTGTTTGGTGGGAATTGCAGCCGGAGGATTTCCAGAGCAGCAACAGCAGACAGATCGTTCCCACACAGATCAGCAGCTACGAGGTGAGTTACCTTCCAGTAGCGGTGGGTCTAAGGCCACAATGTCGGCCCACCAGTAGGAGATGTATGATAGATGATTATCTTTGTGATATCATCTAGGTTTGCTACTACCTGATATGTTATATTCTAGCATGATATGTTGTATCTGATAGTAATAGAGTTCGGTTGTTAGGACCGAAGGGTAGTCAGACACCCCAGATACATCTGACAGTATGTGATGATATGTTTGCATGCTGGCTTGTTACGTTATATGTGATAGAGGTAGTAGGAGGGAACTAGTCCCCGAGTTCGGTTGCTATAACCGAAGGGTAGTTCAGGCGCCCCAGATATGTTTGATAATATGTTACGTTATGATATATATGATAGTAGAAGTTGGGGTGAAATAGTCCCCGAGGTTCGGTTGTTAGTACCGAAGGGTAGTCAGCACCCCAGAATAGCTCGACATGGGTAGTCAGCACCCCAGAATGGCTTGATACGAGTAGGTCGGGCACCCCAGAATGGTCGTACCGGGTAGGTCGGGCACCCCAGAAATGCTCGGCAATATGTATGATATGCGATTGTATGGTATGCGGTATGATGGGGGAACTCACTAAGCTTCGTGCTTACAGTTTTCAGTTTTGGTTTCAGGTACCTCTTCTTCGAAGGGGAAAGAGCTGGCGCAGTAGCGGCCCGTCAAACACATGCTCCTTATTCCGCATCATGAGATCTTCCTGGGGATTTGTACTCTGATATTATTATGTTTTTATGAAATGTTTTTCCAGACATGCGATATCTTTATAAAATGTTATGATCAGTAAATGTTTTTATTCGAATGTTTTGCTAAATATACGTTTTCAAAAATGAAATTTTTGGCTCGTATTTTTGGGATGTTACATACCATTTGAACCCTCAACACTAAAATCCTTTACACCTTAGGTACAAAATTAACAAAACAACCCTCAATATCTTAATTTTGACATAATCAACCCCTCCACCTAATTTCCTTTTAAATTAAATCCAAATAATTACCACGAAGCCCCTGACTTCATAAATGCTTATAAAATGAGTCCCAAACACACACTATTAACCCCCAACTTCTAGAAATGTGACAATTAAATCCTCGAACAAAACACCCTGCATATATAATTATTTATTATAGGCTACCATTCGTTCACTAATTTATTTATTTAACTAATAAATAAACGGGTGTTACAACAAGATCTCTTGATAACCCTTTGGTTAGATGATCAGCCAAATTCAACTGAGTTCTCACAAACTCTATAGATGTCACACCAATCATGATGAGATCATGAATCATACTATGTTTAATAGCTAAATATCTAGACTTACCACTATAAACTTGACTATAAGCTTTAGGCAAGGTTACATCACTTTCACATTTGATAGAAATCATCGATATCAGTTTTTACCATAACAGAATTTTATAAATTAAATTCCTTATCCACCCAACCTCTTTACCAACAACAGTCCATGCTATAAACTCAGACTCCATGGTTGAGTTTGTAATACACATCTATTTCTTGGATGCCCAACAAATAAAACCTTCTCGAAGAATTAACACCCAACCATTAGTAGAGGAATGATCCTCTAAGTTGGTAATCCTGCTGGTATCTAAATAACCTTCCAAGACAGAAGGATATCCAATATATTAGACCATAATCCATGGTTCCTTACAAATACTTGAACACACTATTTATAGCTTGCCAAATGTGGGAACAAGGATTATTAGTATACTTATTAACCTTTCTAACAACATAAGCTATATCAGACCTAGTACTAATAATAACATACATAAGACAACAAATAGTAGTTGATTATTTAAGTTGAGACACTAAAGATCCTTATTAGGTAGAAGGTTAAGATTAGGATCTATAAGAGTGCTAATAAGAGAAGAATTCTCAAATTTAAACTTTTTCAAAATCTTCTTAATGTAATGAGATTGAGAAATTGATATCCTATTGCTTCCTTGTTTGATTCTTATAACAAGAATCGCTTTTGTCTCCCCATTTTTTCCTTGTTTGATTCTTACTAGTAACAAAATAAATTTAATTGAAAGGAAATTTATATATAACAACAACTCTTGTTATATATATATATATATATATATATATATATATATATATGAGAAAATGACGTATAAGCCCTATAATGTTTCTAGGGTTTACTCATTCAGTTCGTAATGTTGTTTATGTACCTTTTAAGGGAACAAAGTTGGTTGTGTCAGGTCTAAAACGTCCTTTTTGAGAAAACGAAGGGGTAACCCGGTTACCCCTTATGACAGCTCACGTATTTTTACATTTTAATAATTAAAAATAATAAGAGGGGCCCACAACTATCTCTCTCTCTCTTCTCTCTCTCTCTCTCTCTCCAATGCACGATGTGTGCTCATTCTCCGGATGACATTCTTCTCCAATACTTCCCGTCATCGATCTTCTTCTCCAACACAACGTTAGATCCTTCATCGATATAGTTTTTCCCAAAATCAACACCACTGCAGTCCAAATCTGAGGATTATTCATCGTTCCACATCTCGTCTCATTACTGCCTCCGAATCCAGATCCAATCGATTCAACTATCATCATCGATGATCATCAATCGATATCAAAATCATAAATCCTCAAACGATCAAGCCTTGATTGTCTTCGATCATTAACATGATGAAGGTGTGATGTAGTTGGCGTTCAAGGCGTTAAAGACGTTTGTCACCATCGAGGCTCCCAAGGATTGGGTTTAAGTGTACGTGGATTTCATTCATTAAAACTGATACATCTAAATATATGATTAAAATTATCACAGTAGTTAGCTATTTCATCTCAAAATGCAATCCATTTTTCCATAAATGAAACAAACATAAAAAATAAAAAAATAAAAAAATAAAAAAATAAAAAAAACATCAATT